TAATATTTATAAATAATAATTTTAAACTCTTAATCTATATTTATTATATAACTATATATACTAAAATCAATATTTGTTGTATTTTAGTAATTATTTATTATTTTTTTGATAAATATATTTTCAACAAATATGTATAAATTTATTTTTTTTATTTATCAAAAAATCTTCAATAATTATTGGAGATTAAACTATTATTATTGAATTTTTAAATTTAATTTATTATGCTTATTGTATTTATTGTATTTTTGTTATAATTTATTGGTTAATATTTATTAGATATGAAACTTGTATTTGAGATTATATTATTTATTGCCTAGTTTTATATATTTATTATTATTTATTATATTTTGTAATTATTGTATTTTTATTAGTTTATTTATTGTATTTTTATTATCAATATATTTTCAATAATTGTGTATTTTTGCTATGAATTTTCAATAATTATTGGAGATTAAACTATTGTTATTTATTAGATATTAGATATTAGACTATTAATTTAGTTGGAGTTATGAGGGTTCACGGGTTGGTTTGGTTTGGTTGTAAGCTATTTGGTCAAGCAAATCAACCTGGTCAGGTTGGGGAGTTGGTAACCCAAAACCGATTAACCAATTGTGAAAACTGGCCCACTTGGGTTGTATCGGTTTGTATCGATTTTTGTTTGCCAATCAGTTAAAACAATTAAACTTAAAAAATTAAATTTAAATTTAAAAAATTACAATGGCTTTGTTAAAAAATAAATTTATGATATAAAATATTTTAGACTAAGAAATATGAAATTTTTTTCACTTTCCCATATTAAAAAATTATATTTAAAATATATATCTATGGTAATATCATTCGATTTTGGTCAGTTTACAAATGATCATAGCAAAACTGATCCAACCTGGTCAAGTTAGAAAATTATTGAACCAAAACTGATCGAAAATACTAAAAAATCGACCAAATCAGATCGATTTACAATTCTTGTATGTTTCTATTATTTACAATTATATACTCCTAATTGTTTAGCTTTTACTTAACAAATCCCAAAGTATCCTCTAGTTTTTTATTAAAAATAAAAAAGAAAATATTTATTGAAAGACCTTCAATCTATTTCATGATCTGACAAAATAGCCTATGTGTTTGATTCCGTTTATGTTTATTGAATAAACATTTGTACTTTATTTGTTAATAAAACTAAAAAATGCAATAATTACAATCATTTATTGATAAAAAAAAAGTACAATAACTTTCACAAACGGCTAACATGCGCATAAATCAAAATTGAGTATTTTCATTTTCTATGCAAACAGAAGAGGAAAATAGAGACGTTTACCGAATAAAGGTGCCAAACGCCCGAAAAGTCAGTCCTGTGTAGATGATGAAATGGCAGAGGATCCAATAATTATATGCCACATGCATGCACATACATCACGATGCAAACCAATAAATTGCTCCCTGCTGCTATTGACCTATTATTTTGCTGAAAAAAGAAATTCAATATTGAATTTGGTGAATTTAATACGTAGGACCGGGTGTCATTAATAAAAAGCCATGCCTGACAGTACTAAAGGGGTGGGTTGTGTGGTCATAGTTGATTCGTATATATATGATTTCCGCACGTGTATTATTTAGCTCAGTTTGGAAGAATACAATACAAGGGTAAATTATACATAGATATGCTATACTTTTTGGGATAATTATAGACATATTCCCTCAACTTTCAATTATAATACTTGAGTATATTAAATTCATCAGTTAAACATTACATAATGTTAAAAATGTCTTTTTCTTATATTTTTGATATCATTCTATGTAGGGATGCAAATGGATTAAATCGGATTTGAATTAAAGTATATCTAAATCTGATTTGAACAAATCTGATAGATCTCGATTTTAATTTGAATCTTATCGGTAAGTTCGATTTTCAGATCTGATCTAATTCGGATTTTTTTTAAATATTAATAAATTATTAAAATAAAAATAGAACATATCAATATTTAAATAAAAAAATGAAAATACAAGTACTTTTTAATTATTTTCATCGTATATGTACATGCTTTTATAAAAAATAAATAATATAACAAATTTTAAAAATATAATACAAATAATATTTATAAATAAATAAATAACATATATATGTATTATATATATTTATATAAATAAATATATAACATATATTGGATTCGAATCAAGGTATATCTGAATCTGATTCGATCCAATCTGAAGATCCAAACAGGGGCAATCCGAATTCAACCAAATAGGGTCGGATATCAGATCATGATCCACCCTATTTGCACCCCTAATTCCACGGAGTAAAATCATCGATAGAGAATGTCGTTGTTAGAAAATTTGAATATGTAATTTGCTGTCCATGTGAGAACGTCACCGTGGGGAGACGTCATCAATTACTTGAGAATGATCTCAAAAATATATGAGAAGGGTCTTTTTGGCATTGTG